CTCTTTTCATAAAAAATGCTATTGCTAGAGTCAACAATCAAAAGACTTGTCCAAAGATCCACAGGTCCCAGAGAGTCCCAATATTGCTGACTGAGAGTGAAACCTCACCTGCACTGCAGCTGGAGGCGAGTCATAACTCTGTGCCGGTGGTGGTGCTGGAGCTGGTGTACTCTTTGGCTTCTCAGCGTAGCGGTTGACACCCAAGCTGCGTTCTGGACATTTACAGTAATTCGCATCCTGGCCAGGTTGTCCTGAAATAGTGATTCTTGGCCAATGAAGCATCTTAAAACTTATAAGAAAATATAAAGTTACCCGGTTGTCCTACTATGCCTTGTTGGCCAGGTTCTCCAGGCATACCAGGTGATCCTGGTGGTCCCGGTGGTCCAGCCTCACCTAAAATTGATCATCATCGATGAAGTGTCTATCGAACTTATTCAAGAACAAGTTATTTCCTTCCAACTTTGCCAATCCATCTAGGTCTCCTTCACTGTCTGACTGCCTTCTTGTCTGGGTGTTTTCTGTCTGTTTGTTTGTTTGCCCTTCTTTCTACTTACCTACCTACCCATCACTCTGTCTGTTTCTCTCCAAGTAAGTGTTTTCAGATTGACTAACCCTTCCCTCCTTCACAATGCTTATATGTCTGACAAGTATGTAGGCTGTCTGTCTGCTCACGTTTGTCTCAGCCAATTCAATTTGAAGATGTCAGCATTTCTAACTGGTCCCATAACTTCATTTGGTATCTACGGATGCGTGTTCACCTGCCTTCCAACCCAACTCTCTGCTTCTTCTAGTCGTTGACTCTCTTTCCAATTGCCTCTCTGATTCTACAGGAAGATCAACTACCGTATTGACTTACCGTCACTTCCACGTTGACCATCACGTCCAGGATATCCAGCAGGTCCTTTCTGTCCTTGTGGTCCTGGTTCTCCTTTGTCTCCCGTTGGTCCCTTGCCTCCACGAGTACCATCTCTACCCGGAACTCCTGGTTCACCCACCTTCCCAGGCTTACCACTCTCGCCAGGAATGCCAGGCTGGCCTGAAGAAAAAATTTCAGATCAAAGTAATGGTCTGCAATGTACGGAAATTTACCAGGATATCCTTCTCTGCCTGGTTCACCGACTCGTCCCACAGGTCCTGGAGCTCCTTCTTCTCCTATTGGTCCAGGCTCACCAGGTGGTCCTGTTGGACCACGAGGTCCATGTGGGCAGACACGGCAGCCCTGCTGCTGAAGTAATAAAAGAAATGAGTTACGATTCTCTTAGAGCTGTTCGTTTGAGGTAATCGTATTTTTGAAGGCTGAATTACCGAATCGATAGTAACAGGGGGAGCAATGCCTGCTAGTCCGGGTGCTCCTGGTTTTCCTGGTGATCCCG